AGCTCAACTCCAGAAAAATAAATGACCCAATCAAAAAATGGGCCAAAGAACTAAACAGACATTTCTCCAAGGAAGACATACAGATGGCTAACAAACACATGAAAAGATGCTCAACATCACTCATTATCAGAGAAATGCAAATCAAAACCACAATGAGGTACCATTACACGCCAGTCAGGATGGCTGCTATCCAAAAGTCTACAAGCAATAAATGCTGGAGAGGGTGTGGAGAAAAGGGAACCCTCTTACACTGTTGGTGGGAATGCAAACTAGTACAGCCACTATGGAAAACAGTGTGGAGATTTCTTAAAAAGCTGGAAATAGAACTGCCATATGACCCAGCAATCCCACTTCTGGGCATACACACCAAGGAAACCAGATCTGAAAGAGACACGTGCACCCCAATGTTCATCGCAGCACTGTTTATAATAGCCAGGACATGGAAGCAACCTAGATGCCCATCAGCAGACGAATGGATAAGAGAGCTGTGGTACATATACACAATGGAATATTACTCAGCCATTAAAAAGAATAATTTGAATCAGTTCTAATGAAATGGATGAAACTGGAGCCCATTATACAGAGTGAAGTAAGCCAGAAAGAAAAACACCAATGCAGTATACTAACATATATATGGAATTTAGAAAGATGGGAACAAGTATCCTATATGCAAGACAGAAAAAAAGACACAGATGTACAGAACAGACTTTTAGACTATGGGAGAAGGCGAGGGTGGGATGATCTGAAAGAACAGCATCAAAACATGTATATTATAAAGTGTGAAACAGATCGCCAGCCCAGGTTGGATGCATGAGACAAGTGCTCGGGGCTGGTGCACTGGGATGACCCAGAGGGATGGGATGGAGAGGTAGGTGGGAGGGGGGTTCACGATGGGGAATACATGTAAATCCATGGCTGATTCATGTCAATGTATGGCAAAAAGCACTACAATATTGTAAAGTAATTAGCCTCCAACTAATAAAAATAAAGGAAAAAAATGTAGTGTAGAGCCTTGTTGTTGTTCAATCCTTCAGTTGTGTCCAACTCTTTTCAATCCCATGGACTGCTGCACACCAAGCTTCCATCTCCTTCACTGTCTTCTGGAGTTTGCTCTAACTCATGTCCATTGAGTTGATGATGTAGAGCCTAGGTGCCAATATACAAGCACCAAGTTTCAGGGCTGATATTTTCATGAGTGTCAGTCTTTCTTATGCCAGAGGAGAAAATCAATTGCCAGTCTGTCTACTGGGAAATCCTATAAAGACTTCCTCCCAGACCTCCCTTCATTTGGTTCTAAGGGTACAGTTATTTCTTAAGGTCAAACTAATAAGCCTTAGCAACTGTAATTGTGTGTTCTCACCACCAAAATACTTATTAAAGTCAAGTCCTTGTTAGAGTTCATTCTAACTCTCAAAAACAATTTTTTATCTCAGCAAATCAACCTCCTTTCCCAATGGGTGATGTATTAAATATACAGACTGATTAGCATCCTTTTAGTTTAATCAACTATAAATGGTATGCCTGCATCGCCCTCGCATTGGTATATCTCAAGCTACTTACCATTCGTTCATTCACGATGATGAAAAATCACTTACGGCCATTTACATTGCTGGCATATAAATTTAAAGTAGCTATCCATCACAAAAATATATTACGAAATTATTAAAATGGCATTTCATTGTACTTAAAATAGTTGCTCTAATGTGAATTTTAAGTAGAAAGTGAGCTAAACGCATTTTCCAAATAATTTCTCCTCAAAAGCCTTAAACCAACTGTTATGCAGAGAAGAATTTTGATACATAATGATTATCTGTTCTATAATTAAAACTAGGATGGCTGTGTGACATTTAGAATTCAAAAATGAAAAGTTCTTTCATCTCCCTGCCTACCTCTGGGATTGCATTTTTCTCTCTTTAAAAACATTTTTGTTGTTGCTTAATATATATTTCTATTTATTTATTTATTTGGCTGCCCTGGGTCTTGGTTGTGGCACATGGGACTGAGATCCCTGACTAAGGATGGAACCCAGGCCCCCTGCATTGGGAGCCCACAGTGGGAGCCACTGGACCATCAGGGAAGTCCTGGGATTGCAGTTTTATTAATCTGATATTTTCCCACGAGGGACTCAGGTAGTTATACAGACTTTTTGGGTGGTGCATGCATGCTAAGTTGCTTCACTTGCGTCCAACTCTTTGTGACCCTATGGATTATAGCCTGCCAGGCTCTTCTGTCCATGGGATTCTCCAGGCAGGAACACTGGAGTGGGAGCTTTGCCCCCCTCCAGGGAATCTTCCTGACCCAGGGATCTAACCCAAGTCTCCTGCATTGGCTGGCGGGTTCTTTACTACTTGTGTCATCTGGGAAGCCACTACACACAGGACTGAGTTTAATCCCAGCTCCTCCTCTATGTGCTCTGGTGAAGTTCTAAGTGACTTAGTTACCTCACCTACAATATGAGAACAGAAATGACCACCTCATTGAGCTGAGATGTTAAGGAGGAAGTGTGGGGAAAGGGATTAGGTGGGCAGATGCCTCACCTAACTTAGACCCTTGTCTCCACTCTGTTTCACTCTGGCCTATCCATCTGTCCAGTATCATGAATGTAAATCTTGAGGCCAGAAGAGTCAGAACACATATAGAAATGACATCTGTTCTTTCAGCCTGACTCTTTGGCTTCCAGACTCTCAGGTGGTTCATTAGTGTAAAGACCACAAAGGCAGTCCTGAGAAACTGGATTTACCATGAGAAAAGGATGCGTGAGGATGAGGAAACAGATTGACCAGTATTTAGAAGGTTGTGTTTTTGTTTCCTGTATTTCCAGTATCTGGAATTGATTGCCCAGGCATTTTCTTTTCCAGGATATGTGCTCAGGATCACAAGACAGCCCAGCACCTCCTATGGTGCTGGATCTTTTTTTCCATTTGTTAAAAATTCTAAGAGGTTTTCAATGGGGAGAGAGGCAAGAGTACTTTTCCTCTCATGGTAATTTATTGGGTTGGTCAAAAAGTTCGTTTGGGTTTTTCCATCAAATCTTATGGAAAAGCCAAAATGAACATTTTGGTCAACCTAATACATTATTTCTGGTTCAAAAACTGCCTGGTGCAATGGGCCTGTCCAAAAGTGGGTCCAAATTTATCAAAAAAGAACATCTTCCAGGTCCCAAACTAGAGGGAATTGTACAGCAGCCCGGGGGGCCAAGCATCCAGGGCATCCCTGGGCCCAGGGCAGAGTTGGCTCTCCAGGGCAAGTCTGAGGGTCTGCAAGGTGTTCAGCACCCAGTGTCATTGGCCATCAGTTCAGTTCAGTTGCTCAGTTGTGTCTGACTCTTTGTGACCCCATGGACTGCAGCAAGCCAGGCCTCCCTGTCCATCGCCATTGGCCATGATGTGGGGCTATTTCAGGAGAGCTTCGAGGGGCTGAACTTCATGTGCCTGACTGGAAAAATGCAGTCACTGCCTGTACAGTCACACATGGAGTCTCTTCTTTTAGGGAAGTGTCATAAAGAACACAGATGGCCAGTCTGTTGACTCTCCTGGAGAGGATGCCGGGTCTCGCTTGCTGAACACATGCTGCAGGCATCAGTTACCAGTATTCCCTGTCCACAGCTGGAAATCATCCCAGCCTTAACTGAGACAAACCCAGGGCTATCTGTGATGTCATGGAATAGCACATGTGGAGAAGGTGTGTTCCAGGCCAAGGCTGCACATAGCAGGCACTTGATGTACTTGGGGTAAAGATCTCTATGTGCTTCCTGAGTGTCTTCAAGGAGGTCCACAGCCTCTAGTGTTTGGAGACCCAACCCTGACTGGCCACACTGTGAGGTGTTAAGATGGGTGCGCCAGGGAGTTGTGTCCACAGGTAGGAAAAAGCACATGGACGCAAAGACAAGGTGGCCTCTAATGAGAATTTTAAGTAGAAAGTAAGTTAAATCCATTTTCCAAATAATTTTTCCTCCAAAGCCTTAACTGTTATTTGCAAAAGAGTTTAAATAATGATTATCTGTTCTATAATTAAAACTAGGATGGCTGTGTGACATTTAGAACACAGCAGAACAGGAAGAGCCCCTGCTAGCTGTGCCACCTTGTACAAGTGACTTAATTTCTCTGAGCCTCAGTTCCCTTCCCTGTGAAATGCAGATAATACTAGTCTTACATGTACCGAATCAAAAACTATGATAAAGAGGGGCATTATTTATTGAGCACTTACTCTGTACAGTATTTGGTTGTGAGCACTGTATGTGTGAAACTCCCTTAGTATTCACAACATTAAGGAATAGTTTCTACTGTGATCCTGATTTTACAGTGAGGAACCTGAGTCATAATAATACTCATAACAGGAGTCATTGCTATTAACAATCACAATGTCACTATTATTATTAGAAGGATTAACATCCAATGAGGAAAGGAAGTAAAACAACAGGAATTTCTTCACTCTAAAAAATTATTAAAGCAAGATTTATACAGGAAAGAAACCGAGTAAGGGTAAGATAAATCATTCTTTAGATTTATACTTGATTTCTTCCCCCATACCTCATTCTCCAAAGTCATAGGTCATGCAAACTATTTGCCATAAATGAGCCTTATGGTCTGAACAGTTCCATAAAGATGTGATTAGAAACTTGTTTGCTAGTTTCAGCAAATGGAGAAAGTATAAACAAATAATCCCCCTCAAATTAAAAGATAAGACTTTCCTCATTTGAAGGGGCCAGCCCAAGAAACAAGAAAAGACCCACACCAAATCACAACATCAGTGAAATTTAGGAACATCAGGTGAAGAGAAGATCCTAAAATCTTCCCACAAAGGACAAGCAAGTAAACACCACTTAGGTGTCAAGTGGCATCAAACTCCCAAGAAAACACAGGAAACTAGAGGATGATGGAGAAAAGTCTTCAAAGGTTTGAGGCAAAATTCTTTCCCACCTAAAACATTACTCTCAGGCACACAATTGATTATTTCTGGTATTTTATGATATTCAGAAGCTCAAAACTTTTACCTCCTATGTCTACTCTTTCTCAGGAAACTACTAGAGAATCTGGTCCAGAAAAAAGAGGAAGTAAGTGAAGAAAAAGGAAGACATGCAATACAGGAAACAGAGGATTTAGGAGCCTACGGAAATTCCCAGGGGGCAGTAAAAGAATGTTCCGGAATGACAGCTGTGCGGCAGCCCTGGACAGCAGGTCCATGTTCCAGCAAGGTTGAAAGCCATGGGAGAGAAATCTCTAGAGAGGGGAAGAGGGAACTGATTGATGTGCTGTGTTTGTCTTTTAGGAAAAATTAATTATTTAGTTATTTGACAGGTATGTCACAGCATTAAGAAATATATATATATATAGTGATAGATACACAGAAACTAAGCAAATAAAAATATAAATTAACTATAGGAAGAATAAAAACTTACATACAGAAAAAGAAACAAAGTATACTGCCTGTATAAGCAACAGAAAAGATTAATGCAGAACTATAAAGGCAAACCATGACTGCTGATCTAACCACAAATTCAAATTTCACTCTGTTGGGAAAATGGGAGGGGGGAATGGAAAGGGAGGGTAAGACCATGGCCTCGCCTACAAAACACGGGTTGATGCTGAACAGAATTCATAAACTGAGGAACTGCATTCTAAGCACATTACCTATGAGGTGGAGAAGCAGAGAAGAGAATTGAACTTGGCTGCCCTGGGGTCCTCAGTCTGGGAGGGGCAGGGGGACGGTGAGAGAGACTCTCTTCAACAAGACTGTTGGGGCTTGTTTTCTTTTTAAAAAATTGCAACATAATTGACACAGAGCATTATTTTAGTTCCAGGTGTTTGAACTTTGAGGCTTTTTAGTTTCAAAATACCTGAGTATGCTTGTGTACTACCTTACAAGTGAAAATTTTTTTAAATAATACATTTAAAAAGGGCTGATTCTGTAACCTGGCTAAATTTACTGATTAGTTCTACACAATCAGTCACACTGTTTGCAAATAAAGACAGTTTTACTCCCTCCTTTCCAAATAAATATATATATAAGGCTCATCCTAAACTGTTTTTAGAGCCACATCAGAGCCCTGAGATTCTGATCTCAAGGTTAAAGATTATAGTTTTCTGTGGGTCATCGGCACCTGGATGTGCACAGACAGGAAGTAATGGGAAGGAAAAGATGTAATGCAGGTAAATAAAGCATTTAAAAATTTTCCAGTAGTTGATTTGAAACTAGTTACTAAAAACTTTTTTTTCCCCCCTTTGAGCCTTAAAACAGAAGACTCATGAAAGAATGTACCTAAAAGATCAAAGAGAACTCATACACTCTGAGAGGGGAAAAAGAACATTTCCAAAGAGCCTGAAAGGTCTTCCCCATCTGTGTGAGTAGTGGGATTCCCAGGCTGGAGAGGGTCTTCTCTTGGGTAGAGGAGGATGTTGGGCATGTAAAGATCTGGGGAAAGGGCTACTAGGAAATGTAGGCTTCTTCTCCCCACCCCGTCCAATTGGAAACAGGTTTTGACTTTGAATTAAATTTCTGTTCCTTCTTCTATACTTTAATAGCTATTTGTGCTACATCAGTTTCCAAATGTTCTGAGTTTCTGGGTAAAATCATATTTCAAGCCTCGTTTCTGTTCATCCAACACATGGTGAAGTTTGAAAGCTTGTGCAGCACTATGGAAATTTGAGGTCATAGGTGGATGATTCTGAAGCTGAGGTCGCCATTTTGATGCTACCGTTATTGTTCCAGATGTCTGAAGTCCTTTCAACCATGTGAAAAGAAGAAGAAAAATGCATTATCTTTTCTTTCAGGTAAGTGTAGGCATGACTGCCTAGTCCACAGCTTACAGTGTCATTTATTCTTTAATCATTTCTAATTATTTTCATGAGAATTCTAGAAGTAGTCATAGCCCTGGTTACCAAAAGGGAAAGGTATTTAAGAAATAATGTTGGTTGAACTCACTCAGCGACACATAGAAAACTTCGATCCCCTAAAACCCGGTTCAATTATAAAGATTAATGTGAAAAAAGTCAACTTCCATTTCAAGATACGATGGGGTACCTTAGAGTACACCAATGTTCCCACTGAGAAAAAATGGAAAAATACAAAATAAGAAACATAAAACACACAACTGTTTAAATGCATCAGTGACTTATTGAAGGAACCAGGAAGAACAGAGGCTGAGACTTGGAAGCTTCTGTGAAGAAGGCAACCAGGGAAAGAGCAGGTAAGAGTCTGTAGCTGCTTTTTCCCTGGAGAAGTTTGCCAAAGCTCAGTCCTAGAATCTGGGGATTGCCTGGACAGAGGGCTACTGGGCAGAGACAGAAGCAGAGTTTTGGGTGGTCTTGATGCCCTGGGACACAAAATGAGAGAGAGTATAGCTTAGCTCTTCCATGGTATTGCGCCTCAGCAGACATTTCGTGTCACCAAGGGGCCTGCAGGGGTCTCACACTGACACCAGCCCCAGTGCAAGTGCACACCCTAGATCACAGCCCCAGAGTCACAGGCAGTGCAAGTTCCTGGTATGAGTTCCCCATCAGCAGTCTGCCTGCCTCCCAGCACCTCCATTGAGGGCACCTAAGAACTTCACCCAAACCCCACTCTTTTTTGTTTAAATTGACCAATCTGGTCTTAGCACAGGAACCCCAAAAGCATTCCACCCACTGAATCTAATAAAAGTATGTGCCCAGGTCCTGCCCTTTTCTCTGCCTGCCCCCCTGTAACCCCTCGAACTGTGCCATGAACTTCCTCCGGGACCTATGAGAGAGAAACTTCTCTGTTTCAATCTCTTGTGACCTTTTGTTGAACCATGGCTCACCACCCAGCACCCTATGTGCAACTTAACCAAAAGTTTGACAAAGTTGTAACTGGAGCATAAGAAGCACTAGGATTGGCAAGTGGTAGCCTCTCCCTGGACATCTGCTGAATTCTGAAAGCTGCAAAGATGGGAAACTAAGAACAAAGACCAGAAAAATCAGATCTGAGTTTCTGATTGAGGAGAAAAAAAAGTTAAGGACTAGACAGAGAGAAAGGGTCTGGGGAACACAGGAGGCCTCCATCTGGAAGTCATGGAGAACTGACCTCCTGTAAACACAGTCCAGTCCTTGACTGGATTTAGATGGTCAGTCTTTACTCTGTCTGCCCAGCAGAGGAAAAGGTGAAAGCCACCTGGACAAAGATGATATGATCTGGCGTCTCTACAATTTATTATCACACAGTGTCCAGAATTAATAGAAAATTACTTAGCATGCCAAGAAAAAGATCATACAACCCAAACTCAAGAGATAAAGCAGACTTCTTAGAGATTTGGTGACTAGACTTAGCAGAGAGAGCTTTAAAATGACTATAATTAACATGTTCAATGAAATAAAAGAGGAAAAAAATACTAAAATACAGGAAAAGACAAAAACTGAAATTAAGAACTCAACATATGGGTTTAAACATATAGAGATTAAAAGAATAAGTAATATATCAAGACTCACAGGATGCAGCTAAAGCTTTACCTCTAAAACTATGTCCTCAAATGCACTTATGAGCAAAGAAAAAAGGCTGAAAAGAATGTTTTAAGTTTCAATATCAATAAGCTAGAATAAAGATAAGTATTTAAAGCCTAAGAAAAGTAAAAGAATGGAAACAATAGACACAAGGTTAGAAATCAACTGAATAAAACTGATGAAAACCTATCAAGACCAATTATTAAGAAATGTAGTTGGATAAGCATATATAATTACAACATCAGAAATAAAAAAATGAACATCACTACAGATCTTACAGACATAAATAATATATTAAAGTACTAATATGTACAACTTTTATGGTCAAGAAGCAACAGTTAAAACTGGACATGGAACAACAAACTGGTTCAAAATTGGGAAAGGAGTACATCAAGGCTGTATATTGTCACCCTACTTATTTAACTTATTTTCAGAGTGTCTATGTGCTTAGTCACTCAGCTGTGTTTGAGTCTTGCAACTCCATGGTCTGTAGACCACCAGGATCCTCTGTCCATGGGAATTCTCCAGGTAGGAGTACTGGAGTGGGTTGCCATGCCCTCCTCCAGGGGATCTTCCCAACCCAGGGATCAAACCCAGGTCTCCTGCATTGCAGACAGATTCTTTACCATCTGAGCCACCAGGGAAGCCCTATATACAGATTACATCATGTGAAATGCCAGGCTGGATGAAGCACAAGCTGGAATCAAGATAGCCAGGAGAAATACCAATAACCTCAGATAAGCAGATGACACCGCTCTTCTGGAAGAAAGCGAAGAGGAACTAAAGAGCCTCCAGATAAAAGTGAAAGAGGAGAGTGACAAAGCTAAAGGCTTAAAAGTCAACATTCAAAAAACAAAGATCATGGCATCAAGTCACGTTACTTCTTGGCAAATAGATGGGGAAACAATGGAAACAGTGACAGACTATTTTCTTGGGTTCAAAAATCACTGCAGATGGTGACTGCAGCCATGAAATTAAAAGATGCTTGCTTCTTGGAAGGAAAGCTATGATAAACCTAGACAGCATATTAAAAAGCAGAGACATTACTTTACCAACAAAGGTCCCTAAAGTCAAAGCTATGGTTTTTCCAGCAGTCATGTATGGATGTGAGAGTTGGACCATAAAGAAAGCTGAGCACCGAAGAATTGATGCTTTTGAACTGCAGTGTTGGGGAAGACTCCTGAAAGTCCCTTGGACTTCAAGGAGATCAAACCAGTCAATCCTAAAGGAAATCAACTTTGAAATATTCACTGGAAGGACTGATGCTGAAGCTAAAGCTCCAATACCTTGGCCACCTGATGCAAAGAGCTGACTCATTAGAAAAGACCCTGATGAGCGGAAAGATTCAAGGCAGGAGAAGTGGATGACAGAGGAAAAGATGGTTGGATGGCATAACTGACTCAATGGACATGAGTTTGACCAGTTTCCAGGAGATGGTGAAGGACAGGGAGGCCTGGCAAGCTGCAGTCCATGGGGTCACAAAGAGTCGGACATGGCTGAGTGACTGAACAACAACAAATATACAACTTTATGCCATGAAATTTGGCAGTCTGGATGAAACAACAAATTCTTTAAAAACAGAATTTACCAAAGCTGACAAAAGAATAAACATAAAATCTAAATAGTCAAACATGCACGTGCATATGCACACACATATATATATGTGTTATATAATTATGTTATTGATAACCTTCCCATGAAGAAAACTCCAAGCCCAGATGGCTTCAAAGTCTTTCAAAAATTGTAAGGAAGACATATCATGAATAAACACATTCTAGAGAACAGAAAAAGATGGAACGGATCACAATTTTTGTATGAGACCAGAATAATCTTGATATCAAAATCTGCAAGGATATTACATGAAAATCACAAACCAGTCTCTCTTGGACATACATACATTTCTAAATCACATAATAGCAAGTCAAATCCGCTATGTATAAAAACAGCATTATATTATGACTAAGTGGAGTTTATTACAGAAATGTAAGTGTAGTATAACATCTGAAAGTCAGTTCACATAATACCCTTCACTTAATGGAGAAAAAAGGAGAAAAAAGAATGATATGGTCATTTTAGTAGATGAAGAAAAGGTATCTGATAATGTTGAGCAGGAAGACTGCAGCTACCAATCCCCAGAGAGGATTCCCACTGAAAGGAGGGCAGCAAAGATCATAATAGCACCAACCACCAGAAGTGGGAACCCACAGACCTCAGCCCACTGCACCTTCTACCGGTTGGGAAGGACTCAGCATATAAGGCACCGGTTAGAACAAGGTTTCACTCACAGAAGGGAGAATACATGCAGCAAAATCAGGTCCACAGAGTGTGCTGGCTCCCAGTGAGCAGGACGGTCCTCCTGATGGTCAATGCGGCCTGTGGATATGTGCACCTCTCTCACGCTGCAGGTGAAAGCCTCATTCCTTTCCCAAGGGGTGGGGGCAGATATACATGGGGATGTCCACATGCCATGTAACGCACATAGTTAAGAAATAAAAGGAACTTCACTGTGTGTCCGGAACAGGGGAAAGGTTTCTCTAAGAAGGAAGAAGCTAGGGCTAAGTGACAGCTTGGAACTCAGCTTCCACATAAGGGACTATCCTAGGCCCAGAGCATTGTTTCAATCCAGGAGAGGGACAGAAGGTCCTACTTCCTCAGCAGATACAATTCAACATTCATCCATGATATCATTTCTTAGAAACAAGAAATAAAAGGGAATTTTATTAATCTGATGAGTATTTACAAAAATAAAACAAAGCTTATGGCAAGTGTTAATACTTAATGGTGAATTATTGAAAGCTCTCTCCCTAAGATTGAGAATGAGACAGTGATGTCCAATACTACCATTTCTATTCAGCATTGTATAAGAGATCCTAGTTAGTGTAATAAGGCAAGAAAAATTAAAATGAAGAGGACCAGGAGGCTTCATGCAGGGCTTGATCCACTGGCTCAAGAATGTTACAAGCACTCAGCTTCTTTCAGTCTCTCTGCTCTATCTTCTACAGTATCAGCTTCATCAAAAGGTGGCTCTTGTTGTAGTCAAAAGACGACTATCAAGAGCTCCAGTGGCTACATGTTTTCTCAGTCAGAGACAGAGAGAGAGAGATTGAGATGGCAACTGCTCAAACATTGCAAGTAAAAGACCTGAGATTTACTCTGAATGGCCTGATTTTGGACACATATTCATCTCTTAACAAGGTCTGGAAGATAGACTGTATTGACTGGTTTAGCTTGATCACGTCACCATCCCTCAAATCCAATGATGCATTCAATGTCTCAGATCCACGCGGATCCCCATAGAGTTGTTTATAAGGAGGTGA